CTCAGGAGGTGGAACCAGGATCCATACACACGTTGACCAGCTGGACTAATGCAGTCAGGAAGCTGCGTGTTCAGCCAGAGTCCCTGCCTCCGTGAACGAAGTGGAGAATGAAAGAAGACACTTACCATCGACCTCTGGCCACCACACACACATTCAAATATGTGTATGTATGTTCATACACATATGTGCACCCATATCCATGCAAACACAGAGAGAGAGAAAGACAGAGAGAGAGAGAGAGAGAGAGAGAGAGAGAGAGAACTAAGGAGGAAAAAATTGTATTCACATGGCAAGAGGAAATGAAGTAGAAATATGAATTTAAACATGTTAGAAAAATATGTAATGGGTTCTTAAGGGGTTAGCTTTCAAACACTTTAATTCATTATCTAATTTGCTGTCTATCTCTTTCCCCTAGGATCCTTTTCAATTTTCGTTTTTAATTTTTTTGCATGTGTGTATGTGTGTGTGTGTGTGTATGTGCGTGTGTGTGTGTGTGTGTGTGTGTAAATCAGAGGGCCATGGGCAAATTACAGAAGCTGGTTCTCTCCTTCTACCATACAAGTTCTATAGCAGGCTTTTTCTTTGGTGCCACCAACTGTTTCCAGATCACAACAGGGAGACTTCTTATTGGTTATGAATGCTTGGACTTATCTTAGCTCTTATTTTAATCTGTTTCTCTTTATATACATTGTGCCTTGGGGCTTTTTACCTTTCTCTTTCCTCTCTCTCTCTCTCTCTCTCTCTCTCTCTCTCTCTCTCTCTCTCTCTCTGTATATCTTACTTTCCTGCTATCTCCATGTCTGGCTAGCGGTTGTCTGACTTCTGGCACTGTGGCATGCTCCTCTCTTTCTCCCTCATTCTCTTAGTTCTTCTTTTCTCTCTTCTCCAGCCTAGATTTCTTCTCCTATTTATTCTCTCTGCCCACCATCCTCTCGTATCTCTTTCTCTGCTTAGCTATTGGCCATTCAGCTCTTTTTTAGACCAATCAGGTGCCTTAGGCAGGCAAGGTGAAACAAATGTAACACATCTTTACATAATTAAACAAATGAAACACATCTTTACATTGTTAACAAAGGCAGCAGCAGAAACAAATGTAACACAACTTTGCACAGTTAAAGTAGTATTCCACAGCATAAACAAAAGTAAGGCATCTTTATATAGTTAAGTATTCCATAACAAGGTTTAGTGGATTCAAGTCCTCAGACTTGGTGGGAAGCATCCTTTCCTTATGAATGATCTTGACAGGCCCAAATCATTAATTTTATAAGAAAAAAGAGTTCATGGGAGTGCATTTGCACCTCAGTGTGCAGGGTGTATTTCATGTATATGAATTCGTGGGTTTGAAGCCCAGGGCCAAAGAAAGAAAACGTGTCCCCTCGAAGAACACAAGAATTTGTACAACTTGTATATGTATTCCTAAAAGGCACAACACTATGTAAATCCTCTCAATAAAAAAAAATTAAGGAGGGCTGGAGAGATGGCTCAGAGGTTAAGAGCACTGCCTGCTCTTCCAAAGGTCCTGAGTTCAATTCCCAGCAACCACATGGTGGCTCACAACCATCTGTAATGAGGTCTGGTGCCCTCTTCTGGCCTTCGTGCATACATGCAGGCAGAATATTGTATACATAATAAATAAATAAAATAAATAAATATTTTTTAAAAAATTAAGGAGAACTATGGGGTAAGGGGAGTAATAATTATTTCATTGATAGATTAACAATATATTTTCTTATGTTACCTGATGAAAGGATGACATACTTGGACAGCTAGAACAAACCTCTAATACTCTGGCCACCAACTGCAGAACACACATTCTACATGGGACATTCATTAGGACAGACCCTGTGGTTGCCCAACCTTAAACAAATAATTTGAAAGGACTGAAATTATACAAGGTATATTCTCCAGCTGCCACAGTTAAGTGAATTATAATCCCATTAGCTTAAATTTCAAATTTTAACACAAATTAAATGATGGGTTGTTAGATAAATAATGGAACAAAAAAACAAAAGGGAAATTGGAAAACACTTTGATATGAATGAAAATAGAAAATTAATGAGTTCTTCCATTACACACAGACTACTAAAGCACACTGAATAATCAAAAACTACCCAGAAAAGGAGCTAAAGCCCAAATTGTTTTCCTACAAAATTTTACCAAAACCTTTTAGAAGGAATTAATAGTAATTATTTGTGAGCTCTTCTAAAATAGGGTCAAGTTCCCTAATCCAGCCTATGGCATCAGTATTGCCAAACCCCAAAATTTCACCAAAAAATATGTTAAAAATAAAAATTATATCCTCAACAAAATATTAACAAACTGAATTAGCCCGTGCATAAAAAGGGTTATACAATGTAACTATGTAGAAGTTATCCTAGAAATACAAGGTTGATTTAACATCTAATAATTAATGAATGTATTTCATGTCAATAGAATAAATAATAAAGTCCATACCATCTCCAGAGGTGCAGAATGAGCATTTCTTAAAAAGTCAAAATCGCTTCTCAACAAACATATGTGCATACATCCTTAGCAAACCAAGTTTTGTATTCCACTACTGCACCCTTAGGGCTGTCATACCATGCTGGTTGTTGCTGTGGCTCATAGGCTCATAATTGTGCAGGATTACCAGTTGCTTCCCATCTTTGGAAGCTTGTATTTACCTTCTGGTGCCTGAAAGCTAGTACTCAGAGAGGAGGTGTTCAGGAGAGTAGCATGTAACAACAATTACCAAGAAAAGAGAACATGAATTTGAAAGAGAACAGGGAGGGATTTATGGCAGGGTCTGAAGGAAGGAAAGGGAAAATGATGTAGCTCTATTATTATCTCAAAAATAAATTTTTAAAATATTTTAAAGACAATTCAAAAAGACACACAGTTTACAAAGGAATAAGTAAAATGACCTATTAGAGTTTATGTAACTTTGTATATGGCAAATGCTAAAGAACACACACACAACTATTAAAGATATATAATCTGGTTCAGTCAACTACAGTTCTATACACTATTAATGGACAAATAAAAAATTAAATTGAGAAACAATTCCATTTAAATTGTCAACAAAGCACTCTCAGGGAATTAAGCAAATCCTACAGCCTTGCTTCCTCATCCCATCCCCTTGTCTCACCTACATCACCCAAGGAAGTGTCTCCCTGGAAACCAGCTGGCCATAGTGGTCAGTGAATCAGGTAATTGATCTTTACTCTCCTTCCCACCCTCCAGCTCCAATCCCGCATTCTTATACCTGGCTTTGTGGCCAACCACCTGCTGCACCCCTCTTCCCTTTCTGTCCCCACTCCTATGGATTAAACAAATCTTTTCCTGTAGCCTTTCTTTCTCATCCCATACCTTTGTTTTATTTCTAACACTGGAGACACTCTCTTACTGGAAACTTGCTGGTCATGGTCACCAGAGAATCAGATCCCTCTGGAAGATCCACCTCTCCTGTGAACCCTCTCATCCTCTGCCCTTCTAGTTCATCCCAATTCTAGTGGACCAGCTCTCAATATCTAGAAACAAATTCTACCCAGACCCTCAATGGTCATATATAGCAGGGACTTAGAAGCACCGCTACAAGGCAACCCAGAGCCACCACATGCTCATAAAATCTAGAGAAGGAAGTAAAAACCAAGGAATGGAAAACCCACCTGATAAAACTATATCAGATACTAACACTAAGAATTACAATCATCCAAAACCCAAATGCCTAGACAACAGCCTAAAAACACGATCAATAACAGCCAGGAAAATGTCTTCCCTAGAGTCCAGGAACCCTGGAACAACAGACACTGACTGAGAAATGCTGTAGCTGGAGCACAAGATAAGGACCTCAAAAAAGCTATTATGAATATGATCAAGGACTTATTAAGGATATGAATAAATTCATTAATGAAATCTATGAAAACACAAACAATAAAATGAAGAAAACTGTTTCAAGATATAAAAATAGAAATAGAATCAATAGAGAAAACCTAGACTGAGGGAAAACTGGAAAGTTTTAGGAACTTTAACAAAAACCTCACCAACAGAATACAAGAGAAGACAGAAAGAATCTCAGAAATCTCAGACACTGAAGTCAAGACAGAAGGAATGATACATTAGACAAAGAAAATGTTAAATCTAAAAGACCAAGATACATAACACTAGGAAATCTTGTACTATGAAAAGAAATACAAATCTACAACTAGTAGGAATAGAGGAAGAAGAAACACAGGTCAAAGGCATAGAAAATATTTTCAACAAAATCATAGAAGAAAATTTCCTTAACTAAAGAAGGGTGTGCCTATCAGGTACAAGAAGTATACAGAACATCAAATAGAGTAGACTGGAAAAGAAATTCCTGATAATATAATAATCAAAACACTAAACATACAGAGCAAAGAAAGACTTTTAAAAGCCTCAAGGGCAACAAACTAAGTAACATATAGATGCAAGTCTCTTATAATAACATTTGATTTTTCAGTGGAGACTCTAAAAGCAAAAAGAACCTGAACGATATCATTCTACAGACTCAACGAGACCATAGATGCCAGCCAGCACAGACTACTATATCTAGCAAAACTTGTTGTGGAGGGCGTGGTCGATCGATAATTAACCAGACCAATTCAATACAAAAGATTTAGCTTTTAATAAAAGGGAAAAAACTTACAAGACCAGAGATCCCACGAATACCAAACGAGCCAGGAACCACAAAAGAGGAAGTTGCAAGGCACTTCGATTTTATTTGTTTTGTGTAGTCTGAAGGGGACACACCTTAAGCAGAATGTGATTGGCTGAGATTCCCCATCAACTTGTAATCATAATAGATGGAGAAAGAAAGTCATTCCATGATAAAACCAAATTTATGAAGTATCTGTCTACAAATCTAACTCTACAGAAGGTGCTAAAAGAAAAACTTCTGCTCTCTCCTCCAACCAAGCAAGATACCCAAGGGAAAGAAGGCCAAGGGGGAAAAGGTGGCCACAGCATCCGCTGCTGGGAAGAAACAGGAGGCAAAGAAGATGGTGAATCCTTTGTTTAAGAAAAGGCCTAAGAACTTCAGCATCAGGCAGGACATCCAGCCCGAAAGAGATCTCACACGCTTCGTCAAATGGCCCCGCTACATTCGGCTGCAGCGGCAGAGGACCATCCTCTATAAGCGCCTCAAAGTACCTCCTGCCATTAACCAGTTCACCCAGGCCCTGGACCGGCAAACGGCTACCCAGTTGCTTAAACTTGCACACAAGTACAGCCCAGAGACACAGCAGGAGAAGAAGCAAAGGCTGCTGGCCCGTGCTGAGAAGAAAGCTGCTGGCAAAGGGGATGTCCCAACTAAGAGACCACCTGTCCTTAGAGCGGGCGTCAATACAGTCACCACTATGGTAGAGAACAAGAAGGCTCAGCTGGTGGTGATTGCCCACGACATAGACCCCGTTGAGCTGGTGGTCTTCCTGCCTGCCTTATGTCAGAAGATGGGGGTCCCCTACTGCATCATCAAGGGAAAGGCCAGGCTGGGGTGGCTGGTCCATAGGAAGACGTGCACCATTGTTGCCTTCATGCAGGTTAACTCGGAAGACAAGAGTGCTCTGGCTAAGCTGGTGGAAACTATTAGGACCAATTACAACGACAGATAAGCCTCCATTAGGGAGGCAACGTCCTGGGTCCTAAATCTGTGGCTCAAATTGCCAAGCTGGAAAAGGCAAAGGCCAAAGAACTCGCCACTAAACGGGGTTAAATGTACTGTTGAGTTTCCTGTACATAAATATAATTACAAACCTTCCAAAAAAAAAAAGAAAGAAAAACTTCTACTTGAAGACCCAAGAAAACACAAAGAATAAATAATACCAGACCAAACAATCAAAATGGGAGGGGAGCTTACACAAAAATAACAAAATAACATCAACCAACAGTGCTCATTAATAACTCTGAATATCAATTGTCCCAATTTCTCAACAAAAAAGACATAGACTAACAGAATGGATACAAAAACAGGATCCATATTCCTGCTGTATCCAAAAAACACACTTTAACACAAAGGATAGACATCATCTCAAGGTAAAAGGATGGAAAAAGATATTCCAAGCAAATGGACCCAAGAAACAAGCCAGTGTAACCATTTTAATATCTGACAAAATAGACTTCAAACCAAAAACAATCTGAAGAGATAGAGAAGGACACTATATATTCATACATGGAAAAATCCACCAAGAGGACATTGCAAATCTAAATGTTGATGCACCAAACACAAGGACACCCAGCTTCAAAAAAGCAACATTACTATGTCTAAAAGCACATAATGACCCTCACACTGTGATAGTGGATGGCTTCAATATTCCACTTTCCAGTAGTCAGGTCATCTGTTTAACAAAAATTAAACAGAGAAACGCTGGGGCTACCTGATATTTATAGAACTTTAACCCAAACATAAAAGAATACGCATTCTTCTCAGCAGCTCATGGAAAGCTCCACATACTTGTCCACAAATACATGAAAATTGAAATAACAATCAGCATTTTATGTGACCATCATGGATTAAAGCTAGATATTAAGAATAACAGAGGCAACAGAAAGTTTACAAATTTATAAAAACTGAATAACTTACTACTGAATGAAAATGTATCAGGAAAGAAAGTAAAATCTTTCTAGAATTGAATGAAAATGAAAACACAATGTACTCAAACTTCTGAGGCATACTGATGGTGGTTTTAAGAGGCAAGTTCATAGTACTAAGTGCCATTGCACTAATGCATAAATAAAATTAACAAGATTTCATATTAGCAATTTTATTTTTTATAGCACACCTGAAAGCACTAGAACAAAGAAAAAAGAAAAAGAAATAATGTCCAAAAGAGTAGGCAGAAAGAAAAATAATAAACCCAGGGATGAAATCCATAAAATTGAAACAAACAAACAAAATTACAAAGAATCGATGATACAAAGAATTGGTTCTTTCAATAAATCAATAAGACTGATAAACCCTTAGCCAAATTAAAACTAAAAGATAGAGGGAGAAGATCAAAATCAAAGAGATCATGAGAGAATGCTGAGCTTTTTGGTGACTTGCTTTGTTAGTTTCCATTCATAAAGAAAGCCACAATACATGTTTTTCAATATCAGAAAAGAACTGTGAGATTCCTTTGTCAGTTTCCTAACCACTTAACAGATAGAGGCCAAGTCTAGTGTAAGTTAATGCATTATGGGCAAAAGTACCCACTATAATTTTGTTTTTAATCTACTTTGAGTTTTTACGCACAAAGGTTCACAATTACCTAGCGTCTATAAAATTCATAAAATTCTTTCATTTTTGCATTACCCTATATCTTCACAGTACTGTAAATCGAAAAGGTGACCCTAGCTGTCTTGATAGTGCATGCCTATCATACAGCATTCAACACCCTGAGCACAAGGATCAGGAGTTTGAGGTCAACCTGGGCTTTATATTGAGATGTAGTCTCAAAAGTAAAATAATGATAACATACAATACAATAAATAATAAAATAAACAATATACTCTACCCCAATAAACCTGGACTTCCCCCACCCCAAAATAACTAAAGTCAATGAAGGCACGTGGATGCTCAAGGTAGTAGACCTAGGAAGGTAAAACTGGGACTCAATTCCCCCTCCATCTTTTCCTCCCTTCTTTATTTCTGTTGGTACCAAGGACTAGGATATAGCTCTGATAGACCTCACCATGTTTTGGGGACACTGGACTAAAAAAGCAGTGAAATGCTTTAAGCCTTGATTAATAGGTCATACTAATAGGAGCATGGAAGACAGTGGTGCTGAGGGTGATTTGAACTGAGGGTGATTTGAACCTCAAGATGTTTCAGATGAGAAGAATTTTAGTATGTTACCTAGAGATTTCTCTTGTGATATTTTAATGAAAAATATTGCTGCGTTTTGTCCTTGTCTGAAGAGTCTGCCCGAGGCTAAAGTAAAGAGATTTGGATTAATTCTGTTGACAGAGGCAATCTCAAAACAGCCTAGTATAGACACTGCTGTGTGGTTATTAGAGTTAAAGTTGTAATAAAGATTTATAGTGAAAAGGAGCAAGCTGAGCAAGGAAAAATACAAAATGTACAGATTGATGAGAAAAGGAGCACCATGAAGTGGAATGGAGTTAAGTCCTGTGTTCAAGAAGATAAACATTAAAAAATAGAATAAAGAGTGAACTAGCCAGGGCAATGCTGGAGAGATCACCCTGACTGCGAAGACAGGGGTAACTGGCAGGCTGACCAACCCTGAAACTATCCAGGCCCAGAAACTAGGTTATGTGTTGGCCCACCTCAACATCCACGTCATCTGTGATCTGCTGGAGCATGGAGTGGGGGGGGGGGCGAAGTCAGTCCTGCAGACCCAGGGATGCAGGACACACAACATAGGACAGCAATGGGATTGTCCAGGAAGAGTCCCAATGAGGGTCCAATGTTGATGGTGCAGCAGAGACCAGGGGCCTAGAACTAGACCAATGGATGATTCTCTGCACAGAAAGCCTGCATGTAAAAATGGATAAACAAAGGGATTTACTGCATGGCCCACTATGTCACACTGCAACTTCCATGATGAGTTTTCCTCGTATTTTCTTAAATTTTCTGTTTTGTTTTATTTGGGTGGGGGAGGTGGGTGGGATAGGGAGACATGATATGAAAGATGCAAAGAATAAATAAAAAAATTAAAAAAGAAAGAAATGGAAAATAGGAAGTAGAGACCTCAGGACAAGATTCCACCAACCTAAGTTTCCAACTTGTGAAAGTGACTTAAAGAAAAGCTTAAAGTAGGGTGTAGTGGTATGATGTGGGATTTCCCTCGGCATGCTGTGAATACCCTTGGTTAAAGAAACTGTCTTGGGCCTGCACAGAGTAGAATAGAGGTAGGCAGAGAAAATTAAACTGAATGCTGGGAGAAAGGAGGCAGAGGCAGAGAGAAGCCGGAGACAGACATGTCAGAACTTTGCCAGTAGGCCACAAGCCTCATGGTAAAATATAAAATAATGGAAATGGGTTAAGATGGAAAAGCTAGACAATAAGAAGTTAGGGCTCATAGGCCAAGCAGTGATTTAATTAATACAGCTTCTGTGTGGTTATTTCGGGAGTCTGGGTGGCCGGGAAACAAACAAGTGACCTTCAACAACAATGGTACATGCCTTTAATCCCATCAGTCCAGAGGTAAAGGCATGCAGATCTTTGAGTTCAAGGCCAGCCTGGTCTACAGAACAAGTTCCAGGACAGCCACCCTAGTGAAAGAAACCATGGAAAACAGAAAGTTTGTGAAGATATAATTGAACAAGGTGGCCATGTCCCAGCAAGCAGCAGAAATTGGCAACTTCAGAGACGTGGTTCTCCATTTAGAGTCAAGGATAGAGTAAAAGGGGTTATAGACTCTCCCTCCACAGCTAAGGAAAGTCTCTGAGGCCAGGTGTGTGGCAGGAGTGTCCGTGAATGGAGACCCAGAGAGGCCATAGTGTGAAGCTGTGAAGCTGATGCCTAGACTGCCTTGGAGATGACTGAGTTATGCGATACCTGCCAAGGAAAGTTGCCAACAGGAAGTGGAACCAGCTAAAGAGAGAGAAGTGTGTTGCAATCAACATAACTGAGAGGAATTGGAGATCTGAAGAGCAGTTTGACATCTGACATGAAGACGCAGAGTTTGGAGTTTGTCCACTTGGCTCTTTGGTCTTGCTTTGTTCCAGTATTTCCTCTCTGTGCTCCCTTCCCTACCTCTAAGAACAGTAATGTTATCCTGTGCCACTGTATGTTGGAAGTATGTGATCTGCTTTTTGATTTTGGTTTTACAGGGGATTATAGTTAAGAAACTGAATGAGACTGAGAAGAAACTGAACTTCAGACTTTTAAACAGGGTTGAGACTGTGATAGACTATGGGGACTGAATGCATTTTTGGATTATAATATAGCTACATGGCTTTGGGGGCCAGTAGAATGTGATGGTGAATAGAAATGGCCCCCATAGACTCATGTGTTTGAATGCTTGGCCTCTATGGAGTGGTACTGCTAGGTGTGGCTTTCTTTAAATTGGTGTGGCCTTGTTGGATGAAGTGTATCATTGTGAGGGTGGGCTTTGAGGTCTCATTTGTTCAAGCTTTGCTCAGTTTGCTCCTCAGACACTTCCTGTTGCCTGCAAGAGTAGGACTCTCAATTGCTCCTCTAGCACCATATCTTCCTGCATGCCACCATGCTCTCTGTCATGATGATAAGGAACTAAACTTCTGAAAATGTAAGCAAGCCACACCAATTAAATTTTATTTTAATTAAATTTTTATTTACAAGAGTTACTGTGGTCATGGTGTCTCTTCACAGCAATAGAAACCTGAACGCAATGCCTCCCAGGGTTTTATTCCCTTTTAGGAACTAATCATCAGCTTTATTTTAGTATGGGATTCAATTTTTTAAAAAGTTATTGCTTAGCTTTCACTTTGAAAAAATGCCATTTTCAATTACTCATAAATTCTGTTACTTTGAACTTCGACTGACAAGCTATTATTCATGATGTATATTATAAGCAATACACTTCAGAACATACTAGCCCCTTTTAAGTTCTACCCTCGCTAACCCTGAACTCACCAGCATCAGGCTTGCCCTGGAACCGGCATCTTCTCTCCTCCTCTATCAACTTGT